AAAGTAATCTGATTACGTAACTCGTGTTACTTGTAATGCGTTACCTCCAACACTGACAATCAGGATCATTGTAGAGTTTGCAAACAAAGTCTCCCCTTATTAATTCTCTGCCAGATCATTTACCTTTGAAATTCATCAAGTTTAGAATATGCTTCATTTGGCCAGGCCAGGGTTTGTCTCCCCGAAGAATAAATCTACCAAAGTCATTAATCCATGAACACATAAGATAATAAGGCAATCAATTATGTGGAAAAGGCACACTTTTGCAATTATGGGCAAACATTGGGAAGTTTTCCTTGGGAATGTGTAGGGACAGTCAAGTTGAGGATAAATATGCTGTTACTTTACTTTGTGATCAAATTTATTTTCACTTGGTGGATGATAAAACACAGGCAGCGCCACTCAGATATTCTTTAGATTGTAAACATCTAGTTGCTGTCTGAAGTGTTTTGTTTCAAGTGCACTTGTCTGTTGTCACAGAAACCCAAGTAGGATGGAAATTCAAGAGGTAGATGGAGAGATATCAGTCAACCTCTATGAGACAGCCTTTGATCCCTATTCCCTCGCCCCATCCCAAGATCCAGAAGGTAAAGGAAATCTCAGATGCTGCCTGCCTTTCTCTGTCCAGGTGAGAACATTCTTTTATGTTGAATTTTCTGAACAGATGTCATCAGACCATTATGTTCTCCACATGTTGGAGAGTCAGATACTAATGTGAGTCTTTGAGGTGTGTTGTGTCTCAGCTTGTGTTTCAGGGAGTTTTCTGGGGGATGTTTTACTGGAGAAACTCAGACATATGTGCAACAGTTTTCAACTGGAGCCCAACTTCGTGAAGATCCGTTGTTACAAACCACCTAATCCCCATGTACTTTATCTGTTTTTCTAATTTAATTTCCTCAACATTTCAGCTAATCAGTCCAGGTGCTTATCCAAAAGTCTTCTCTGGAGCCTGATATTCTTACACACACCAAGATTTTACATTCAGTGAGTGTAAGACAAATATGATGAAAGAAATGATAACATTTAAAGAGAAAGTTCAGTTTGAAACTAGGCTTATTTTTGTGTTCAGATCTTTGAAAGGTACATTATTAATGCAGTCCATACAGACAAGTGACTTAAACACACCTTTTATATTATAATGTTTGCCATTTCAGGCATGAAGATGCATCTCTCTGGTGGCCGTCCTGATGAACCTGGTGTGTGTGAGAAGCTTTGGTTGAGCGTAATGTCCAGAGCAGCTTAAAAATACACAAAAGTCCTTTTCTTTCAATGTTCCAGGGGTTGTTTGATTGGATTCACCATCCCAGCCTGGAGAGCATTCTGTTCAAGACTTGCTAAAGAAACAGCCTTTGACCTCTGACCTGTGCTTAAAGGAGGACAGAGAATATGAGGTTTGGAAGCTCAGTAGAGCTTGAGGAATATTTTTTGTTTAGATTTACAGCATTTGAGCTCTTAAAATTAAACTCTCACACGGACTGAAAAGCCTCCAGAGTTCTTGATTCTAGAAGTGGCTGTAACTCGTCACTATGTAGTGAAACTTCACAACAGAGTCGAAACATCTGTGATACCTCACTGTTGTTTCAGTGCGACTGCATAAGATGGTTATGAAATAGTCTGATACTTTAAAATGGACGCTTGGTGCCTTTAAATAATTCAGGAATGTGAATAAGTGCCGCTCGACAGAATTTATGATTATTTTTATCTAAAATGTTTGTTTCAGTTCATGTGTAGCAGTCAAACAAATTATGTTTTTATATCTAGCATGAATTTAAATGTACATGTTGGATTTATCCTGAGTGCACAAATAAAAAGCTTTTTCCTCAATGAATTGTTCATTTCATTCAGAAATATGTCACAATATATTACACCAGATGTATGTTTCACAAATTAAGTTTGAGCGGGTGTTTGTATATTTTCATGAAAAGATGGCATGTGCTTCATTGTTTACTGAAAGATTTTCATTGTATGCTGCATATTAAATAATTAAACACAATCTTATCACTATTTTATCTCCGAGGACAGATAAATGTCACCATGTCCTAAACTGTGTTTTTAATAAAAGTAACATGATCATAAATGGTGTTTGAAAGAAATAGACATTTCTACTGTTTTCGTGTCCATATGATCTCCTGATCAGTAACAGATATCACTGTGTTAAAGACATGAAATTCAAATACATTGTCATGTGAATGTCAATAAAGTCTCTGAGCTCATAGGAGCTTCTAATGTGTCTCTTTCGAGTGATTCTTGAATGAATAAATCATAAATCAGCTCATATAAGACTCTAAATATTTACCTAATAAGAAATAAGCTACAGCAGCAAACACCAACAAAACTGACAATCAGCTCGTTACACGAGTCAGAAAACAGTGACTATGATTCATCCCGAATAAATAAATGAGCTCATCAAATATCATGAGTCTGAGAGCAGATGAGAAGTGCTTCAGTCAGGAGTTCCTGAGAGTCTGAGGCATATGAGGAAGTTTGGTAGTTAGCGGGATTAACTAGTTGATTGGCCAAGATCACAAGAGGCTTGTGAGAAGTTCAGTCACTGTCACATGCAGCTGTGGTTCTTTTCTGTGTTTGCAAGGCATTTTGGGAATTTGAGTTTTGAAGGATTGAGACAAAATCCTCCAAAAAACACAAGTTGCAGAAACACCAGTGGCTCAGTGGTCTGAGTGTCACTTCTTGATGAAGTGCCAGTGGCTCAGTGTGGTTTAAATGTCTGTTCTTGGCACAGACAGTCCTAGTTTGAATCTCACTCTTGTGGTTAAAATGAGTTTTTACGCTAGTTTCTGACTGAATAAGACAGACAAAACTCCATAAAAAGAGCCACACACATGTGGCTCAGTGGTCTGAACATCAGTTCTTGATGTGGGCAATCCTAGTTCAAATCTCTCTTTAAGTGGAAAATAGTTTAGTTGCACTGGTTTCTGACTGAAAAAGACAAAACTCCAAAACAGAAAAACACACACATGGAAGAGCCTGTGGCTCAGCAGTCTGAGTGTCAGTTCTTGACACAATAACTCCACGTTCGATTCCCTCTATTGAGGTAGAAAAAAAGTTTAGTTTCACTGGTTTTTCAATAAATAAGACAAAACTCCACACAAATGAAGACTTCTTGTAGAAGAGCTGGTGGCTCAGCAGTCTGAGTGTCGGTTCTTGACACAGGAGCTCCAAGTTTGAATCCATCTGTTGAGGTGGAAAATAGTTTTGTTTCACTGGTCTTTTAATGCATAAGACAAAACTCTTAAAAAAAAAAGAAAGAAACCTGCTTGTAGAAGAGCTGGTGGCTCAGCTGTCTGACTGTTAGTTCTTGAAACAAGAACTCCAGGTTCGAATCACTTCATTGAGGTGGGAAGAAAAGTTTAGTTTCAATAGTCTTTCAATGAATAAAAAAAAGACAAAATTCCAAAAAAA